TCCTTACTTGCGTCAATTAATGTTTGTGTTTCCCTTTATGGTATCCACATTATCAACCAGTAGATTCACATCATCAGCATAGGCCAACAGCTGATGTGTCCCGTTTAATTTCAGCCCCACTTGGTTTCCCTGGACCTTCCTAATGGCATATTCTAAAGCAAAGTTGAAAAGGAGTGGCGATAAAGCATCTCCTTGTTTTAGACCATTCTGGATAGGAAATTTATCAGACAATTGTTTACCTGCACGGACTTTAGTATACGTTTCGTGTAAACACATTTTAATCAACCTAACTAGTTTCATGGGTATCCCAAACTCTATTAGAATATTGTACAGTACTTCCCTCCTAACTGAATCATAGGCTTTCTTGAGGTTTATGAATAGCTGATGTACTGTCTCATCGTACTCCCATTTTTTCTCCAATATCTGACGAATGCAAAAGATCTGACGTGTAGTTGATGTTACGTCGAAACCCACACTGATGATCCCCAATAATTTCATCTATATATGGACTTAACCTTGAGAGAATAATATTGGATAAAATTTTGTATGAAGTTGATACCAGTGATATGCCCCGATAATTACTACAGTCAGTTTTATCACCCTTCTTGTGAACTGGTACAATAGACTCCTTCCACTGATCAGGCAATTTTTCCTTATACCAAATAGAAGTAATTAGTTTGTGGAACTTAGAACGTAATATTTCTCCTCCTGCCTGAATAAGTTCTGCCGGAATTTTATCACTACCTGGCGATTTATACCGTTTCCATTTTGCAATAGCACTTTCAACCTCAAAAGGGCTAGGAACAGGTATTAACGGCTCAGCTGTATAGATTTCTGTCTGCCTACCAGCACTGACCCTATGTACATTCAATAACAGAGTAGTTGTTCCTCCACCTATTCAAAATGTTGTGGGAATCTGCAAGCAGATTAGGTGGGTCCCCTGTCACCACGGCCTGGCGCGTCCTCAGGTTGCGGAGGGAGGAGACGCCCTCCAATTTTGGAGGGAAGCTGCGAATATATTGAATAAGCAGTCGCGGACAGCCGACAAGGGGCGGTCCTCCAGCTTGCGTAAACCGACAGTTCGGAGCCACCTGTTCACGCTGATCCTCGCTCGCGGATTTTTATACCCTGAAGATGGAGGTGATACGTTCCTCCGAAACGTCGGTTTACACAATATCCACACGACGCCACGTCCCATAAGGCGGCATTCTTCTTCTTCTTCAATAATAATAATACGCTCTTGATATGGCATTCAAGATAAAGCCCCAACAAATTGTCTCTCGTCGGGATATGGTTATCCACTGCTCCGAACGTGTTGAGGGCGCAGAGAATTAGTTAAGCTCAGAAACAACTTTACATTTACATATCCATTTTGGTTGCGGAATGGGGTGGTCACCGAAGGTTGTGTGACTGTGAAAACAAATTCTCAAGAAAACCCATTTGAAAGAGATGACGACATTTCCTAGAACACCAGCCATGATGCTAATTACATAACATTGTGCTTATGTGCTGCTATGCGTACAGCATGCACACTGTAGACTGAAACTTCAGTTGGCCTGAAAGTGATTTAATAATCTGAAATTACTCTCCTCTGGACACTGTTTGAAGAAGACAGGTTGGTAAAGCAAAAAAGTAAAATTGTCCCTGTGCTTAATTAATCAAGCACTACGCCATGAAGGTATATTGGGGCGTGGGCGTATAGATCCACGTATTCTCGACCTCAGCACTATTTGTAGGTGGCCAGCTTCAACCCCGGCCGTTTTACCCTCGGAGACAGAGCACCAGTACCCACTGAGTGGGCCCCAGAGCCGGTCTGGATGTCGTGGAGAAGACAAAAAAATCTTGTCCCTTCCGGGATTCAAACTAGACAGGTTGGTATCATAGCATAAAACGAGGCTGAAAATTATCATGAGGAGCGTGCAGGCAAGGATTTGGAAGGAGGCAGTCGTCACCTACTTGAAGTAGTACTGCGTTATTCGTGTGACAGAGTGAATGTAAGGAAAGTGTGAGAGGAGGCGGTTTCTCAGGCAGAGAATACACGTACAGATCTAGGGCATTACCACTACACCGACCTGTTCTGCTTGCCTTGCTGCCAATCCAGTCTTGTCGCAGAGGCCGTATTTATGTGGCTTGTTAACAGACCCATGCGAAAATGTCCCTCATTAGCACTGCAAGGTCCTGACGTTTTGCGTCTCCTTCAAGGCCGCAGTTTTATTGTTTTACGCCACCGAAGCAGCACGCAAGTGTTGGAAGAACATGGACACCTTCCTGCAACAAAGGTCGCCCGGCCTTGGAAGGTGTCATGGTCTCAAGCTTGGCGCCTTGCAAAGTAGGACAACCGGGGAACCTTGCGGTGTGCGCTGCTTTCCGTCTCTGCTTCTAGTTGCATGCGACATGTCCCACACAATTCAGCAGAATATCCCGAGTTCAATGACGGTATTTCTGGATCTGGCTACACAAATGAGGCGTACTTTCTTCTGAGATTAGACGCCTTGCAGTATGGCAGTTTACTGACGTTTCGGAGAAATGTACTGCATCCATCTTCAGGGTTGATACATTACTACAGACCGACAGCCGCATCATGTTATGGCCGGTGGCCGTAGGCATGAGTATTTGTATGTATATGTATACTTGTATAGGGTGGCATGTCTGCTGGAAGCCAGAACCGTGGAGTCAGTACAGACAGATACACGCCCGTTGATATGCAACGGCTCAGTAGCCGTCACATGATGGCAGCGGTGATTTCTGTGCGGTCCGTGCCGAGGCTATATAACGAGAACCAACTGCAAAATGAAGAATTTTCAATAACATGCTGTAAGTGCCATACGTACGCTTGACGAAAGGCCAAGCATATTCATGCGAGACAAACGCATCTTCTCGTCAGAGAGGATGTTACAGAAGGGCTATTACCACAAGTGTTCAGGCGAAAAAAGAAAACTCTGGTCGTGAGTCTAAAGGGGCTTGACGCCACGATGAACTGATTGGCGGCAAACCACCGGTCGTAAAGTAACTTCGACTTCGACTTTACGAGGCGTCGAAAGAGAGTTTCGGGCAGTCAGCCCGTTGGGAGCTGCAGTTGGAGAGTAGTGACAAGCTGGCACCTGGGTCCGGCGACAGTTCAGGAACCCAGAAGAAGGGGAACATCCACTGTTGGAAGCCGTTACAAGCAGCGCCCTGAAGACTGCGGCTGACAACACTAGCCAGTATAAGATAATGATATGTGAAGTGCAGTCACGAGTTGTGTTTAAAAGAGTCCAATAAATCCGTTTACCAATCCGAACCCCGTCTATCATCACTCACTCACGTGGCAATATATACTGTAACCGAGACTAAACGTGTGACCCATACAGAGACATAAATAACTGCAAGCTGTACTGACTGTTGCAAATATTATCAGTAATTTCTATGCGACAGCATGACTCCACATGGAGTCAATAAAGTTATCAGTATGACTCAACCATAGATCAAGTAGAAGTTATGTCATGACCGACGCTCAGTCGGCCAGTCTGTCTTCATGTCAAGCCGCATGTGGGATGCCCTCTCTGATAAGAGGATGGGTCTGTCGTTTACAATTGCTGCTGGTCTTCGACAGCGCAGTTATTCTTGGGTCTGAGTTCAGCGGGACTCATGACCATATTTTACTGTCTCCGATTCGAGATTTCCCCAACCTGGAGGTGGTCCCCGTATTTATATCCCCCAGGGAACAGGGTGACCCAGTTATACCCCCAGGCACTGAGTTCCCTTTAGGTCGCCTCCTACGGCTCGAAGGGCTACGATGGACGTATTCTACCCTGCCTCCACCCGGCTTAAGTCAAAGTCACATTGCGGCTGACTGTCGGTCGGTCTTTGTGTCTAACCCCATCTGGGGCTCATGACCAGATATTTATTACTGTTTGACAGGTATGGTTTTGTTTTTGTGTGGTGTCCCCTCTGATGAGAGGACGGGTCTGCCTTCTGTACATGGTGTTGGCACTTGTCAGCGCAGCCCTTCTCAGGTCTGAGTCCCTTGGGACTCGCGGCCATATTTTACTGTCTCAGATGTGAGACTGCCCTTTTTGTCACCTCCTACGGCTCGCAGGGTCACGGTGGAGGCATTCGACCCCACCTCCACGTGGCGAAATAGTAATCCTAGTTATATAGCCCTGGCACGGATACCAGTCTGTGTGTGATAGTGATTTGTAAAGTGCAGTCACGAGTTGCTTACGAGTTCATTAAATTCAATTACCAATTCAAACCCTGTCTATAGTCACACTTAACACGTGAAAATATATTTCTACCTTGGAATAAACTGGGTCTATATTTATACATGCTGTATGTGCTTGTTTCAGAGATCATATCTGCATTTGGGTTCCTTGGCAGGTTGTTCCTACATGATCCTGGAAAATAAAAATTCTTTAAAGTAAAGACAACACCACATGCTGTGGAGGAAGCGCACACAAACCAGGAGCATATGGCAGTCAAAAACTGAAAGCAGACCACGAACGTGAGGGGCAAGCTGCCGAGAAAAACAGCTTGATATATTTACGAAAATGACGACACCCCGGGTGAGGTGAAATAATATGCAACAGAAATTTTAAAGGATTTTATCTCATTTTACTTAAAAAGAAGACTACAGCATGTGATTTTAACACAAATTAAAACAGTGTAGCAGTTTTTAACACAGTTTTACTAAAATATCTGTAAAAACACCTGAAGATGGCCGTTTGGGGCCGAAACATGTAGTGTTGAAGTGTAGAATGTAAAAGTGTTGCAATTTTGACAGAAGATGAACAATGGACGCTAATGGTGGAATGAAGATTGGCAGGGGAAACCGAAGTACTCTGAGAAAACCTGCCCCCATCCCCACTTTGTCCACCACAAATCCCACTTGACCAAACCCGGGATCGAACCCGGGCTGCTGTGGTGGGAAGCCAGCGACTAACCGCTTGAGCTATGATGCGGCCGAAGTACTGGTTACATTCACATTGAATAGTTACAACATAAAGCTTCTCATTATGTAATTTTCTACATTGATATAAATTTCCCCTCCTGAGTTCAAGTACTCTCATTGTAAATAAGTGTTAATTTCTAATTACATAATTGTACAAAGAACATGATATTATGACTGCTTTTTTAAATAAATCTGTATGCAAAACTGATATGGTCTGAGATGTAATAATGTTTGACGACTATGAAAGGTGGGCAACAAAATAAAACAACCACAGCAACAAACCAGAGAGTTTAGTGCTTTAATTCTTATATCCCATCACAACTTCTTGTCTGTTCCAGTTAGTCTTTAAGCTGATGTTCAAATGGCGATTTCTGAAGTTCTGCTATGTCCTGAAAATAATTAACAAGAAACACAGATTCATTCCAATTAGCCCACAGAAAGCATCAGTTAATTAAAACAAAGATGACTGAAAAGACTGGCAGAATGAATGGTGCAAAACAACATCTTGTACGATGATACCAAAGTAGCCTGGTTACCAGCATTTTGAAACAATCTGCTGGCTACGTCTTCACATCTCAGAAGACAGCCATCTTCATAGTCATCCCTATGAGAACCCCAAATTACACTACAGGGTACATCACTCTGGAGATAGGTGTAAATAAATCATATCAATGTGACATTTCTATCAGCCTCGGCCATTTTTAGGACACTGAATTATAGCACATAAGCTTTAGGCAGTGGTACTTTTCTTGATATGAAATAAACTGAGTTAATGTACCATTCCTATGGATCACAGACCAATTTAATTTTTTCTACTGCATGTCAGACATAGCAATTAATTCAGTACAGGAGAAATATGAGCAAATTGAAACACTCACCTCTTACACTGAATTTGAGGTTCTCACAGCAGAGATTACGAACAGTACTGTCTTCTGGGTGATGGCGTGTAGTCTGGTAGAACTTTACCCATGCTTCAGAGGGATGTACTATCCTTCAGGGTCAAAGAGTAAGCCAAGAAAGCAAACAGAAAGAAACAAGCAGGTTAGTTACTTGGATTAATCTTAAATCCTGAAGATGGAGTCAGTAAATTACTCTGAAATACTGGTAAACTTCTACCAGATCTCATGGCATCACACTCCTGAAGACAACATTCTTCACACAATTTACAGAAAACTTAAAAACATTAATGAAATATTACTTTAGTGAAACACATCTATAATTTCAATGTATCCTCTCATAATAAAAGTGAAAAATCAAAAAGATGCTGAAGTTTCTAAATTGACCGAAGAAATACAAATTCTATTTCCTATTGTCAAGGAGGTTAATCACCAGTACAAATTTCATGATTTATGACCAAAACTGAGGCAGTACCAAAATATCACAGGCCTCTCAGTACAGGAAATATGGATAGGTGGAGGAAACTTCTTAAATTATGTTCTGTCAATGCTCAGCTCTGGCTAACCACAGAACAGATATCTTTGGCTGGGTATGGTTGGAGCCCACAGATATCAAGAGGACCTTAGTAACAATGGTATATGGGAACCCCCACATACTAACACGCTGTTTCGTCTGTCTAACAGACAGCATTCAACTTCTACTCAAGCCAAGTCAATGTCACATTGCAGCCAGCACTCGCATTTATACAGCACTCAATGTCCAGCCCACCTGTAGATCATCACGTGTGCTAGCCAATCAGCACTCACAATTGTGACTGCAACTTTAGCTCTGCCCAACAAGCATGGTATAAAAGGCGGAGCCCTAAACTCGCTATCATCAGTTCTTTGATCGTCCTCACTACAACAAAGACAGCTAACACCGCTACTCTGATGTCATGAAGCAGCAACAGCTCTCCAGCAACCACGCCGAGACAACGGCTGTGTCATCTCCATATGCAGCTGTTCCTACTGGCACACGCAGCAACGCATCACCGGCCAGCCAGACCAGCTGAAGGGCCATAAAGAAGACCTGGTCTGCTACAAAGCAGCTAACGCTACTGGTGCTAGCATGGTTGAACAAACGGCCCTTGTGAGCAACTATTCTGTACATTCGAGAATAACATATACAATTGTTATAGTTTTACGTTGTTGTCTCTTAGAACATCAAAATCTCACAGGCACTATGATCAGGGTTTTATGTAGCCTTCATAAGATGAGGAAGTGCACAAGGGACCCAGCAATTGTCTGAATGCCTGGGGTGACTCAAATAGTTGTCTCCTCTAAGTCAATACCAATACCAAAAATCTTGTTATGTCTCCCTATCACAGCAACAATTGGAAAATGTGTGCTTTAAAAATTTCAATTACCGAAGACTTACTTAAGATGAATGACAAAGAGACTTGGTTAATTTCAATTGGCAGAGCTTTAAATTCAACACGAATAAGCTCAGGGATTTGATCTAAAACAATATGTGACTCTTAAACCAAATGTGTGCTAGTAACAAGCCTAGCTCACTGGTACAGTGAAAGTTCAATGATCAACCTCACAAGTCTGACTTGACCTTTTCCAGATAGGATACGAAGGCCATGAAATGTGAAGTTTCACTAGGAAGAAACATACACAACACTGTTCTTATTTTACAGGTCAGGCAGAATTTTATTATATACGTTTTCTGTGTTATTAGCTGCTTCTGAATGAATAAGTCAGAAGTATGTTATATTTAATGTAATGTATTTAAAAGTGGGAAAATGCTGATTAAAATTATTCACAAGACACTGCATGATTCTTACACTTATTCACATTTTTGTGTTGTCTGAAGTGTGACAAAACAGAATCAATTGAGAGAAACTGTACTCCTGTGATCTATCAATGAATAGCCTATTGATCCAGTGTTATGTGCTGCCTCCTTTCTGTAACTCTACAGCAGCTACTTTCCTAACTACAACCGTTCAAGAGTAGACATGGTTAACTTCCCTGATGGGGGAGCAGATTAAAGAAATTTTCTTGTGAGTGTGTGATACTGAATTAAAATTCAAATATATAGAATTAAATTATCACATTGCTCAACAACTTTCATATGAAATTTACTTGACAGGATATGATTGATGCTATTGTAAATACGTGGTTGTTTTAACAGTCAAACATTACAATTTTATTACAAAAACCCATTTTCATTTTTTATTAACATCCATGGATCATTATACATAATATAGGACAAGGACCCATGTAAGATCTTAAGAAAATATGTTCATTATTCATGTTGAAAAGTGAATAATAGGGTGAAATTAATATTTCACCATGCACACAGTGAATATGAAGACATTCCTAAATATTCTTTTGTGACCAGACAAAAAATACATCCAGAAAGGGTTATGCAATCTTGGATAGTGTGTAATAATAGCTTAAGTGTACGCGGGGGGGGAGACCATTGCATTTTCACAGGGTGGCGAAACTGGTTGAGCCAACCATGCTTACATTTCTTCTAGTCTACAATTAAGAATTTTTTTCTGGTATCATCTTAGAACTCATTTTATGACCCTGGTTCTTAAATTATTTTATATACTTGTTTGACCACCATTATTTAATTGCAAGATTATTTTCACACAGCATTTTGGGAACAACGATAACAAATCGAAACCTGATTCAGGAGGAAATTATGAGGCGACTGAACTCAGGTAATGCTTGCTACCATTCAGTCCAGAACCTTTTGTCTTCTCGTCTGTTGTCCAAAAACATAAAAATTAGAATATACAAAACTATAATTTTGCCTGTAGTTCTGTATGGGTGTGAAACTTGGTCTCTGACATTAAGGGAGGAACATAGACTGAGGGTGTTTGAGAACAGGGTGTTGAGAATATTTGGACCAAAGAGAGATGAAGTCACAGGAGGTTGGAGAAAACTGCATAATGAGGAGCTTCATAACTTGTACTCTTCTCCAAGTATAATTAGAATGATCAAGTCAAGGAGGATGAGGTGGGCAGGTCATGTAGCACAAATGGGGGAGACAAGGAATGCGTATAGGATATTGGTGGGAAAGCCAGAAGGAAAGAGACCACAGGGAAGACCAAGGTGTAGGTGGGTGGACAATATTAGAATGGATGTTGGAGAGATAGGATGGGATGGATCTGGCTCAGGATAGGGACCGGTGTAGGGCGCTTGTGAACATGGTGATGAACCTTCGGGCTCCATAAAATGCTGGTAAATTCTTGAGTAGCTGCAGAATTGGCGGCTCCTCAAGAAGGGCTCAGCTCCATGAGTAAGTCAGTAAGTAAATTTCTTCACTCCTTTATTTTATCTTCTAATTAAAACAATTCATCTCCTATATTGATCTAACAAATCCAATTTCTGATAATTCTAGTATATGCTCCCCCTCTTAGATCTGCACAGTAGCAATGGTCTATATCACTCTGACACACTGTTAAGACATATTTCATTTTAGTATAATTTTACTACATAAACATACTGAGCTATTACAGGCTTGTAATAAATTTAATACTGAGTAGAACAATACAGTCTAGAAAACCGAGATTAACAGCTGTGGGGATTTGTTGTGCTGACCACGTGACACCCTCTATCTGCTAAATTTGGCACTAACTTCGATGACAAGCGGTGGTTGCTCAGTCAGTATAGTTCACTTGAGGACTACAGGCCACGAAGTTTGTTTGTAGAACAACAAATGTTTGAGACAAAAGATGTAGCTACTGAGATATACAGTAAACTGTATGTATAGTTCTTCATAGTGTATTGTTTGCAAGCTGAAGGTCAACTAATATTCAAGTGAAAATGATAAACATATATGTACGAAACTGGCAAAGTGGCATGTAGTATACTGACATAATTTGGTTGAAACAAATGGTGAGATCAACAGAATAATACAAAACAGTTATAAATTTTGTCATTTTGTAAAAGCAATATTATGGAACAGTGAGATTCCAAAACAATACAAAACAGCAATCTATATAGTATATTTTTAAGGCAAACTAACATAAGATACTGAAATATGGATCAGTACAAACAGAAACAAAAGCAAAACTAAAGCAATGGATATGAAATTTGTTAGAAGTATTCTGGGAAATACAAGACAGGACAGAAATAAAATCAGAAAAGCTGGTATTTAAAGCCTACTACAGGTTAGGAGAGAAATGATTACAGTGGTATGATCATGAAAATGGACAGGATACCAGAAAGGGCACTGGAATGCAAAGGGCCTGGTAGGATGATAAAGAACAAGACAGTTTAGCCAGCTACTGGAAGACATAAAGAAGAGAGGCAAGAGCTGGCAAGAAATTGAGAAAGAAGGATTGTGGGAATGAAGAACAGATTCAGGACTTTGTTTATCAACCTGTATAAAATGGAACTGATGCTAGAAGAGAAATAATAGTGCAGTATTAATGAAACAGATGAAAGAAAGACAAGGTCATGTGACTCACCTGTTTATGGGCCTGAAGTTCAATGTGTTTGACCTTGGATGGCAGGAATCTATGTATGACTGGTGTGAGCAGGTCAGGGTCAACATCCTCAGAGTTATTGGGCTTCGTAAGAAAGCTAACCACCAGACCCACAATGATGGCAGTTGCCACACCAATCATAGTGTACAATGTGTAGGATATCCTGTAGATGTACAGTGGCTCATTCCTGTCAGCAGCATCATTATACACATTAGAGAATATTTTATTAATTTCTGGATTATTTAAAGTGCTGTTAATATGTACATCAGAGGACATAGCCTCAAATGACATGGTGATTAGTGAATAATGATTGGAAAGGATGTGGAAGGAAGCAGTCATGGCCTAGTTGAGGCGCTATCCTACACTGGAGAGACTTACAACCTGATGCTCTCTACTAGTCTTGACATTAAATAACCTATACAGAAATAAATCCCACAACAGCTTTATGAGATTTCATGTTCTCACAGCAGTGACAGTAAAGATTCAGCTGGGGTGTGACAATGTAGGGTCTATTAAGTAGTTTCAGAGGCACCTGCTGCTTCCAGCTTCAGGATAAAAGCAGAATGGCACCTTTCTGCTAGATTACACAGTTCACATCCTAGAATAATCATCTTTAAAAGTGTTCTATCTCTCTCTCGCTCACACAGTTATAAATGGTTGCTGGGCTGATTGTACATTTATGTAACTCTGATAGAGCCAGAGATCTTTGATAAGTATCTGCCTTCCTCTCCCATAAAATCTTGAATTGAATTGAATTTATTTACCTTCCGTAAATCCAGTACAGGTGAGACACCATAGGATATGGAACAAGTCAAGTTAGAATACATAGTATCTATACAATAATACAGTAATATTGCAATTAAATGAGGTAAACTTATAATACTTATAATACACATTAAACAATGATCAAGAAATTTATCAAGATTTATCATGGACTAAAATAAAATAAAATTTCCATTAAGACGTTCATTCATTACTCATTCCATTAATCAAGTGCGTCAAATTAAAATGCATATAAAAGAGACACTTATCATACAAAATTCACTTATGGCATACAGGACCAACTTTTTGTTATAGGTCACACATCCTTTGGGAAGTTTCTCATGACTCCTTGATGATTGATGTCGGCCTTTGGCATCAGCTGAAAAATTTCTTGATTGTACCAGAGGCCACAAAGAGGGGGATCTTGATAATCTGATTAAATGAACTGCGTGGGCAAGCCAGTCAATTACCGGGTTTTTGGAATTTATCAATTGTCCAGTATTTTAAGGCGCTAGAAAAAACAATGTTTTGGAAACTGGGTGTTTCCATCCTCAGGTGAGGGTGGGAGACACCTACTCTGGTCCAGCGAATGAGGTTAGCTTTTTCTAAGGAACCCAACAGAGTAGTTGTCTCTCCCCTAACCTGAGGACGGAAACAATTCCAGTCTCTGAAACGCTGTGTTTTCCAGTTTTTTAAAATACCGGGTGATGGACAAATTCTGAAAACTCAGTAATTCTGAGTGTTATACACCATCATTAAAACTCTTCAGGATCTACAAGTTCACACAAACCTGCTACTGTAGCCTATTCTGACTCAGCTGAATCCAGTCAACAACCTCACACCCAATTTCTTTACAATAATTTTTAATGCTGAGTTTCACCTTCTGGGATATAACATTGTGTAACGCTTCACAGTCGCTGCTGTGTGAACGTTAAATCCAACAAATTTTAATGTTGCATTATCCTCCCATCCACCAAATGCTAACCAAGTAAGTTAGCCCAAGCAGTAATGCTTCCGACTTGTGTACTAGAGGACTAAATATTCTTAGCCTTTTTCTTAGCAAATTACATTAGCGATTTATTTATCTTTGAACATGAATTTCTGTTAGCAGTTCAGGAAAAATAGCTTATTTTAACCTCTTCTGTGCAACAGATACTGATATATATGTCCTTTGACATATCAGGTTAAATTAATTTCGGTCATGTTCAGTTAGATCATGCTGACTTCTTTTTAATTCACAGAGTGGGAACAGACTGAATCCACCTGGAACACTGATCATTACAGAGCCTATTAAACCAGCACTATATAAAGATGACATTTTTTAACGTATCTATAACAAAGAAAGCTCAGCACAGAAAGGGTTATGTTCCCATGTTGCAGCTGTCACTCACACTGTTCCTGGTATTGCTGTGGACTTGACTGTATTGTTCAGGAACTCAATGTCACAGCCCTCAACTGACACTGGTTTTGTGGGGAACTTGATCTGTCCCTTGGCAATGGAGATCTGGCTTCCTATTGATATCCAACCAACAAATACCATGCTGATAACACCACCCACCAGTGCTCCCTGCAGTTATAAAAATAAAATTCACACTGAGGACATCAGCAACGAAAAACACTTCTTGCCATCTAAAACAGCAAAATGCCCAGCACATGACACCCGTTAAATAATCATATGACACTTGTCAAAACTAGACAGCATATGAGAACATCATATAAATTGTGCTTACTGTAAAACAGTACAATGATTCCTTTAAATATCCAATCCTAAAATATTATTTCACATGAACATAACTACTACTGCAGAAACTTCCACTTCATTATTCTGTAGGCAGTCAAGTGCCAGTTCAAAAACAAAGCCCCAGCTTAAAGAATGAGGATGTGACAATCTGCTGTCTGGCCAAGGCTATCATACACCTCAGGGCCAGCAACAGATGGGTATGGGGCAAAGGTGGAATGATGATTAGCAGAATGGCACATGAACCTGAGTAAAATCTTCCTTTCTCTGGGATGGACACCGCAATATCAAGCTATTTTTTTATGTATCTGTTACAATATAACTGTCTGTTGACAGACCTGTGTTGCCCAGAAACTGCTCGGCAAAACTGTGCATATTGTTTTTACTAAGGTACTCACTTTTGCATTAGCCCATGGGAAAAACATTCCCATTGAGAAAACGCCTAATAGGGAACCAGCTGTGATGCCTGTCATACTCTTTGCAGCCTGTGGAAACAAAGATTAATTATAATTACGAAATGTAAATGAGAATTTCACTGTAAATAGCAATCAGAATATGAGAATATCATATGAATAAAACCAATCTGCATTTACCTCCAAAGATCATCCATTCCAACTAATACAATGATATGATTTTATCTGTATTCTATTGTATTACACTGACAGAGTATGAAATGTTCATTAGCTATTTATATTTAATTAAACTTCTCTGGAAAAAAAGAAAAAATTCTGGCAGAATATGCAGGGTGAAGTAAACATTTTATACATTAGTTTAAAACATAGTGGTTTCAGATGGTTGTACTTAGGTGGCTAATCAATTCAAACACAGTTCAAGACATGACAACACACCTGTACAAGTGTGCCCATGTTCTCCACTACAAACACCATCCCTACACACACTGTACCAATCACAGCCACTATCACCTTCATGATGAGGCTGGCACGTGACTCAGAGATGCGCTCCTTGACCACTGGTCGGATCAAATCCTCAAATATCACCCCAGTCATTGAATTCAGGCCTGTGGACATTGAGCTGCAAATATAATTATTAGAGCTATAATTATTTTCTGCTGTGGTTCGTTTAATATTACTATGTCAACTGAATAGAAAACTGCATACAGAGGAGCTTCATAATTTGTACTCATCGGCAAATATAATTAGAATGATCAAGTCAAGGAGGATTAGGTGGGCAGGCCATGTAGCACGAATCTGCGAGAACAGGAATGCATATAGCATATTGGTGGGAAAGCCATAAGACACCACTAGGAAGACCAAGACACAGGTTGGTAGATAATATTAAAATGGAACTTAGAGAGACAGGATTGCGTTGTATGGAACTGGATTGATCTGGCTCAAAACNCAAATATAATTAGAATGATCAAGTCAAGGAGGATTAGGTGGGCAGGCCATGTAGCACGAATCTGCGAGAACAGGAATGCATATAGCATATTGGTGGGAAAGCCATAAGACACCACTAGGAAGACCAAGACACAGGTTGGTAGATAATATTAAAATGGAACTTAGAGAGACAGGATTGCGTTGTATGGAACTGGATTGATCTGGCTCAAGATAGGGGTCAGTGGAGGGCTCTTGTGAACATGGTAGTGAACCTTCAGGTACCATAAAATATTGGGAAGTTGTTGAGTTGTGGCACATCTGGTGGCTTCTCAAGAAGGGCTCAGCTCCATGAAGTTAATTAGTTATGTCAGCTGCAGAGACTACACAGCATCAAATGATGAGGAAGTGGAAGTAATTTTAAAGGAAATGTAAGGAACCATCATAGGATCTCTTGCTGACTGAAGATAATTATGAAAGGACTCGTTCAGAATGGTGTGTTTACTTTACAGCGGAAAACCTTCAGTGATCCCAAGCACTCAGACCACTGGTGGTCCACTGTGCACCTCTGAACCTGTTAGGACACTTCAAAGAGCCCTTACCATAATGCAAAGGCACAACCATCCTGATCAAGGAACCTCTAACTACCTGTATGCACAACAACAGACCTCTGCTCCATGCACAGCTAAGCTGGGCATTCACAAGATGTACTGCAAGAGGCTTNACAGACTACACAGCATCAAATGATGAGGAAGTGGAAGTAATTTTGAAGGAAACATAAGGAACCATCATAGCATTCTCTTGCAGAGACTGAGGAAAATTATGAAACAACTAGTTCAGAATGGTGTGTTTACTTTACAGCAGAAAACCTTCAGTGATCCCAAGCACTCAGACCACTGGTGGGTCCACTGTGCACCTCTGAACCTGTTAGGACACTTCAAAGAACCCTTACCATAATACAAAGGCACAACCATCCTGATCAAGAAACCTCTAACTACCTGTATGCACAACAACAGACCTCTGCTCCGTGCACAGCTAAGCTGGGCATTCACAAGATGTACTGCAAGAGGCTCCCTTTTCCTGTCTACACTTCCTGCACATGCTGCTGTCTGAGAAGCCCCATAATATGTAGGTTCCACCTCAATGTACAATGGTCAGTCAGCATCCCTGTTATAAGCCTACAATATTTCTTGTACAAGGACAATAGGTTCCTAAACTATTTATCCTAAGGCTTTCTGATGAAGAGTTCTGGATGCAGAGGGTGTATTGTTATTATTGTATTTTCAAGATTATTATACTTGGGATTACTTAATTCTTGGACTTTGCCCACATTCAATGTTCTAAAGAAGACAACTTCTCAGAAACTGAATCTGTTTCCATCCTCATGTGAAAGACTGGGAGGCATCTACACTGTTGGGCCCATTAGTTATTAGAGTAATGAACAATTCACCAAAGTATAACACATTTCAGTTGTATTTTGTAAAACGAAGAAACAACTCAAAATCCATTCATTCTATTGTAAAAATTATCTGCCCAAGAGGAGGATCCGGTTCCTTCAACATCATTGGAAATGTGTCATTACAGACCGGCAGACATGCTAGAAACTTGTCAGCAATCACAAAAACAACTATGAATTATTATGGTACTTACCTCAGTGCTGCACTAAACACTCCAGACAGAAATATGCCTGGCAGGCCAGGTACAGAATCTGATATTTGCATCACAAAGTATGGCAGAAGTTGGTCAGCCTTCTGAATCGTCTGCAACATAGCATGCATTTGTAATAAATACAAAAGGTAAAGTAGTCCCTGTGCTTAATTAAGCACTATGTAATGAAGAGATAAAGAAGTGGAGGTCTGGCTCTACACGTTCTTAATCTCAGTACTAGATTGAGGTGAGTGTTCAGCTTCATTCCCTGACTGCTTTAATTCCAGGGCAATTGCTTGTGGTATCCACTGCAAAGAAGGTTGAGTGAACTCCATAGCCAATCTGGACATGGCAGAGAAGAGAAAAACCTTTTGCCCCTTTGAGGGAACTGAATGCTGATTCCACGGTTATTCAAGGCATAGTATGGTCTCTAAATAAATTGAGCTGTATCATTAATAATGTTTTACATTAATAGAGAATTTCCTGATACAAATTATCAGCTAATGAATTCCTGTAAACACCAAGGATACCATTCAGTACAAAACAGAATTACGTAAGTCCACAGAGCAGAGTACCTCTTGTGGAGCTATTCAAGGAATTCCCTGTCTTTTTGGGAACCTGTTGGTACATAAATGCCTTCACGAGAACATGCCACTGGTCACTGTCCTGAGACAAACAAATCCAGTCCCTGCCCTCCTTGCATGCACCTCTCACATCTCACATGTGTGCCACTTGCTCTGCCTATTCCTTCCTTGATGTCATCTTAATGATATATGACAAAGAGTACCAATTATGGAGTTTGTCAGTGTGCAATCTTTTCCAGCTTCCTGTTACTTCAGCTCCCTCACCACCCTGCTTTCACAAACCCTCATTCTGTTCATATTATGGTCTTGTGCCTGGTGTGTACCAGTGTCTTGGGGGGAACATATTGTTACCATCTTCATAGTATAACTGTCCATTTCTTCCATCAAGGAAAGGAACAAGTTCATATCCATACAAAACAACATGTACAACAACTCTTTTGCATACAAGTATCCCTCAACATGCACAAATTTCATGCTAACATCCTAACTCATTGTTTTCTTCGGCAAGGTCTCATGTCACCATGGCAACATACATGTTCAGATGGTGGGTGGAGGAAATAACAGGTGGCTGTAGGTATGCTTAAGAACAAATTGTGGACAGCGGTCAAAGGGTGATCGAGCAGAATGAGAAAGGCATGGCTTGTAGCAAATGTGGGAGGAGACAGAAGTGCACACAAAGTTTTGGTAGGAAAACAGGAAAGAATGAGGCCACTAGGAAGACCTAAATATAAATAAGAGGATAATATTACAAAAAGTTCTGGGAAGAAATATTTGCATACTTCCTCTCACTACACATCGAGTATTTGATACGACCCTGTGTATTTGCTGACACAGGAAAGTGTTCACAAACCTCTTTCCTAGCAATGGCTACAGAACGTGTTTATTGAGCCATTACCTATCAATAATGGGTGGAGGGGGGGCACAAGGACACAGACAACAAGTGATCTTATATAAGTTCACATTTATTTTTTAAAAAGAAGGAAATCAGGTTAAAAATGAATCTGAAAGAAATTGGGTGGAAGACACTGGATTGGATACATCTGGATCCAGAATGGTACCACTGGTGAGCTCTTGTGAACACAGTCATGAACCTTCAGGTTCATAAAATGTTCAGAATTTCTCAAGACTAGGCAAATACAGGCTTCTCAAAAAAGAACTCTGATCCATTGAGGTGCTTTGTTAGTTCATTAGTGAAGACTAAAAAAACTACAAAATTTGAATAAAATGCAAATTAATGGGAATTATATAGGGCTATAATGAATGGTATTAAAGTTAAGTGAATTGTACACTTATAAATCAGTGATACAGTGATAAAGCAGAAACCAATATGTGCAACTTAACGTCCATCAGTATTGCAAAAAATGTTGCAATACTGATGGACAATAAAGTTAGACAAATGCAACAGGATGCTGAAATACAGAATACAAAATGCGCAAATTTTGAATTATGCAACTATTCTTGGAAATGCAGTATCATGTAAACCTGGGGATACCTGGATACTTGAATTTATCTGCTCTTAATTTCTCTGTGAATATAATTTTTGATTTGTTACTGTTCTTCCAAAATATTCAAACTTGATCATATTTTCAAAAGAATTATTAGCTCCTACATTACGAAGTCCTGAAATCCAACGATAGGACATGAATATACACTTAGTTTTTCTGAGATAACTTCTAGACCAACGTCTTTACTGGCATCAAATAGAACTTCTGTGTTTTATTTGTGGTTTTTCAGGCATATACAGAACTGAACAGACCAAAGAGTAATACAATTTTGACTGGCATGACAGAAACCCAACATGGGATGCAACTATACTGAAGACTGCAGTAAGAGAACTGTGTGTACATACATGTGTGCTGACCGGGTCACAGTCATGGAATGTTGCATAGATCACGAGTCCTGTGTAACAGCTCATGGTGACAATCCCCAGGATTCCAAGTGCCAGGATCAGGATTGTTCTAGAATGAACAACATCAACGTCATTACACCAAAGAGATGAGACTTACCTTAATTTTATATAGCAATTCTCTAGAACCATACCTAGGATTTCACTTTAAAAGGACATAGACATAAAAGAGGGGATATTTAAAGAAATCAATGAATATAAACTAAATTTTAATACAATGAGTCATTGACATAAATTTCAGTCCCCATCACAAGATGTTTCTTTTTTTATTGTGGGTTAATTTATGATGTTGTTAGCAGCTTAGAGCATCAGATGGTAGGGTGACATATGGAAGATGGAATGAAAGGATGTGAAAGGAAGCAGTCATAGGCTAATCAAATTTCTCAGTATTTGCCTGGAGGGACCGAGGAAAACCACGAAACCCATCAAGATGGCCAGTGCCCTGTCCAAGATTCAAAACAAGAATCTCTCAGATATGTCTTGAGCATTATCACTATGCCAGCTGGGCAGGTTGTGTTTCATTTATTGCTTGTCTAATGCCTCCAAATAATGTTGTGTTGACCTCCTGGCCTCTGCCTAACTAACTGTCTTTGGCTTGATCAGGGTGAGAGGCCAAGCTTCAAGCATATAAAGTGCAACTTTGTCTAAAGTGAATGGCAGCAGACATTCACCAAATTGAACCTACTCTTAACTTCTTCATTTTAAAACTACAGAGCTATAAATAGACAGGGAAATAAAAATTACCACATTAAAAAAACTTGACACGTGTAAGAGCGCTCTAATGATGACTGCTATTCTGACAGTACTCTGGTACTAGGCCTCATACATGTGGAGCATGTTTTAATGTTTGTCTTAACTCTCACAGATGGTTTGTGCTGTACTTGGTTTGTATACCCTATCTTGTGTTGGTACAGGTGTCCAGAGATAGGGAGTAGCTATTTCGACTGGGCCCAACTGCATGGGTTCCAGCTGAAGATGGAGACAAAATTCGGTTCCCGAAATGTTGTGTTTTAAATAAAAACAGGATGGATAATATAACATAATATTTGTATTGATGTACCATCATCACAGACTTTTAGATCCTGACTCTAATGATAGAGCCACAGCCATTCAGAATAAGGTCCCCCTGACATCTACTGGCTCTAACCATGCAGGGCCAGAGCTCTCTGTTCTACATCCAGCCAGGGTTTGACAATGATGAAGGATGTGATTGGAGGATTCCTCCTCCTGCTCACATTTCCTGCACATGAATGCATGTATACATTATGACATGGCAGAAGATTGGCAGAAATTCTTTTAATTTAAAAGAAAACTTTATAAAATGTGTTGCCCTGTGTGGCAGCTCAGTTCATGCTTACTGCTGCATCACTCTGCTTGTACAAGAGCATGTCATGAGCTGAATATGACACTGAAGCTGTTGACCCTTAACACACACTTTTGTCTTTGCAACTAGCCTGTATGAAAACAGTAATCTTAACCATGCTAATCACAGACTAATAACTTACATGTTGGCTTTGTAGATGGTTGGCATAGCAAGGCAGCGTTGGACCATGGCTTGATTAACAGAACATGACGCCAGCCAGTAGAAGTAATTGCCAAAAGAAATATTCCAAAATGTGTGCCTTATGGTGGGGTCCATGTTGAAGCTACATCAAAATAGCAAATCAGGGCTCATTTGCACCCCAAAATAAAGAATAATTTGCATGCAAACAATGTACTATCTAAGAAATTATAAAGCATCATCCAGGATTATCTTGCAGAGCATAGAAGAGATATAAGCTGCCTGTGTGTGTGTGTGTGTGTGTGTGTATCGATACATGAGCATTTGTGGCTACTAGTGTCAGGATAAAAATCAAAACATAAATTATTTAACCCAGTATCAAATCAGGTAAAAATTATACATCTCCTTCAGCTTGTAGAGGGGGTTCAATATTGTGTAGAAGTATCCAGCCTCAAAGATAATATGCAGTGCATCAAAACCATGGCAACACCAAGTGGCTCAGTCAAAGATCAAATAGTGTCAGCTAAATATACTTAGTTACCTGCGATAGGTCAGTCAATACAGTGACTACTAGGTTATGGGCTGGACAACTGAGGAATCAGGATTTAATCCTGACATGGACAAGAGATTTTTCTCGTCATCACAGCATCCAGGCTGCCTCTAAGGACTACTTAGCCTCCTATCCAAAGGGTACCAAGTGATATTTCCCTGGGGTAAAGTGGGCACTGAATATAATTGACCACTCACGTCCATCTTGTGATAAGGTTACAAATGCATGAACCTATGCCTTCACTCCTCCATAAACTATCATGCCATGGCTTAATAATTTACTTTTGCCTTACCACTATACTCAGCTCTGTCTAAATCATCTCTAAGGGTATGCCATACCTCATTCATGAAACCTAGTTTTAACAAAAAAATTTTTAAACAATACTTTATAAATAGACTAATTATAATAAGTTATAAATATTTTAACAAATTCATGCACATTGCAGTAATTGTTATGGGATAATATTCCATATCTATGACATCATATTAGCAGTTTCTGTATGTATTGATAATGTCCTTGTGAAGATTGTTATGACCGAAACATGTAAAGGATGAAAGATAAAAAAAACCCAACATTTATCAATCACACTCAGCGGTGTTAATAACCTCTTATAGTATTGCTAGTGTGATGGACCAGGATGAACCAGCTCAAAGATGGTTCACAATTGATTATTTGTGCATGCTATTTGTGGGAAACGATGGCAAACATCAGTTTCGATTATTCATTCAACAATAACATGTAACAATGGAGAGGAATACAGGCAAAAGCAGTGGAAGTTACTAGTGCAAAAGTTTGTATAAAAAGTGACACAACTTCCCCTAGAATATTCAAGAAGCACTGCATCAACATTGCAATAAAAATATAAAGTCCTCTTTCAAATTAATTATATAGCTCAAAACATCTAACTTTGGCATTGGTTCAAATGAGTGGTCAGCCTGTAGCACCCATTGGAAAGGAGGCTGCATGGACCCCAGAGCTGGTATTGATGTTGAGGGAGGGAGGATATGTTACCTTGTCAGAAATGGAACCCAGATTTCTTGGTTGTCCAATTCACAGCAAAGTCACTATACTGAATGAGCTATCTATCTATATCTATATCTATATCTATCTATCTATCTATCTATCTATCTATCTATCTATCTATCTATCAACTTGCAAAAACAAACATAAGCCTCCATCTATATGTCATATTATCGATAATATGAACCATTGTTAATTGTTAACTGTT